GCGGGACAGGCCAGAGACGGGTGAGGGATAAACCTACAACAAGGCCTTATAAACACTCTAACACCGCCTTTTAACCTCTCCGAGACAGATAAACCTCCAACAGCGCCTTTTAACCCCTCCGAGACAGATAAACCCTCCAACAGCACCTTTTAAAACCTCCAACAGCGCCTTTTTTAAACTTTCCGGGGCAAATAAACCCTCCAACAGCGCCTTTTAAACCCTCCAACAGCACCTTTTTTAAACCTTCCGGGGCAAATAAACCCTCCAACAGCTCCTTTTAAACCGTCCGGGACAGACAAAGCTCCAACAGCGCCTTATAAACCCCTCCGGGGCAGATAAACCTCCAACAGCGCCTTTTTAACCAGTATTTTATAGAGCACCCAGAGGGAGGGAGGGGATCCTGCTCACTCAGGTCAGACCTCACCTTTCTGCAGAGCTTTCTCCAGCACAGGAGGGGCTGGAGCTGTTGGGTGAGCCCATAGATCACCGAGGAGCTCAGAGGAATGGAGCAGCTCTGCTCTGAAAAAAAGCTGAGAGAATTGGGATTGTTCAGCTGGAAAAGAGAAGGATTTGCAGTGACCTGGTTGCCTTACCTGAAGGAAGCTGACAGAAAAGGTGGAGAGAGACTTTACACAAACATGGAGTGACGGGACAAGGGGGAATGGTTTCAAACTGACAGAGACGATGTTTAATTCAGGTACCAGAAAAAAAGCTGTTTGCTGTGAGGGTGTTTAGGCCCTGGCACAGGTTGGCTGTGGATTCCCCATCCCTGGAAATGCTCAARACCAGGTTGGATGGGACCTGGAGCAGCCTGGTCTGTGCAACCATGGCAGASGGGTGGAATGAAACGATCTCAAGGTCCCTTCCAGCCCAGGCCATTTGTTGATTTTATGATTCTGTGATCTGCTGCTCCTGCTCTCTTTGTGCTCACTGCTGTAAGAATTACTGTGCATGCTCATGCTGGTGATACTCAGCTCTGAAAGAAGTTTCTGGAACTTCTGCATTCCCCACTTTAGTGGCTGCAGTTTAAAAATCCACATTTGTAGTGCACAATGTGCTGTCAAAGCTGAGATCTGCAGGATCTGAACAATTTTGTGACAGCTGCAGGTTGGCATTTCAGTTTCCACGGAAACCKGCACCAAAATCAAGGTGAAGTGTTGGCTGATTATCTAATAAAATAGCTGAGCGTTTAAATCTGAAGTTCTTCACCTTCCTTTTGCTGAACAGATTTCCATTCCTACAGCACCCAGTGAACGCAGTAGAGGCCTCSTGTCTTCAAATTGTTGTCAGAGCTTGGGCTGGGTTATCTCCTTTCCAGACAGAATTCAGCCTTGRCCCCTTCAGCCACAGAGCTTCGTGCTCTGCTTTTAAGATAAAAGACTGATTTGTCCCCACAATTACTGCACAAACCAGCACGATTGTTTATGACAAACTGCAGAGGAACAGTTCTTTTGCTTTACTCTGTGTTTCTCTACCATGCATTTCCAGAATCCTTTTGTGCTCAAATGCATTTCCTTGTAAATAATTCTCATTGTATACACTTTTTATCTGCCCACGCTCTTGCTTATCACCTGAATTTAATGGCTCTTTGGCTTTGCACTCACTGGACTCTTGTTTTGAATCAGTGAGTTTGATCATTCTGCTGAACATTCCTTTTTTCAGGTCATTGATTCCTAAGGTTAACAAAATGAATCCTCCTACTAATCCAAGCTAYGTCCCACTAATCTCATTGCTTTATCCTGAACTGCTCAATTACCTTTTGTCTTCAATTTCGATACATTCATCAAACCCACAGACCAGTCTTTTGTGCAGGAAGCAGTTTCATACTGGATTTGAGAACATGTTCATGTGAATATTTCTCATACTTATGTCTTAATTTGCTAAGGCTGTTTAAATTTTCTTGGTTAATTTGCTTCTTGACATACCCTTTTAAATGTACATTTTCCACTGCTGATTTTTTGCCAGAGATGTCTTTCTCTCTAACCTCTATTCTTTTCCATTCTTGAAGTAGTGTCTTCCAGTATTTGATAGTGTTGACTTTCCGCTTTGMAGCACTTAATCTTTTCTACCCTCCTGAATCATTTGACTCCTTTGTCATCCTTTGTTCATCCTAGGCAGAGAGTAAGAGCCAATATTGTTCTGAAGGACGTTTGTTCTGTTTTTCTCAGTAGGAAATTGGGGCTTTTCTTAGGCCTGTCTTTCACATCTCTAACTCCATGTGCCACGTTTTTGACTGGGGGTTGATACCTCTTTGCCAGGTTTGCCATGATCAGTTTTATATTGGCTTGAACCTATGAGGGGAGCACAAAGCCCCCAAAGCAGCAAAGTTCATGGGCTGACACCCCATGATACGCTTGGGATCACCTGGATATTTATGGAAATGGGGCTGAGCATCTTTCCTCCTTTGATATGATGTTTCAAACCCAAACGATTCATTTCTCCTGTCTATAACTGAGTCTGCTCTCACAGATATTGTCTTTGCTAGGAGTACAATGTGGAGAAAAAAGGGCTTTTTGCACATTCATTAGCATGTCAAGGGGGTGCCTTTAAGCATGTTACAACAGCAAGGGCCACGAATCTTTCACAAATGTAATTAAAGAAGCCCAAATTAAATTCTGGCTGCAGAACCCCTTGTGCAGTCTGAGCACTGTCACTCTGAGCTGCASTTTGCATATCAGACAGCTCTTTTTTCCAAGGCCCAAGGACCGTGTGGCCATTCACAAACCACAAWGACACCCCAGAACAAGTCACTGCCTTTGGCAGGGGCTCAGAGGGCTGGAATCTCGGGAATAAACAATAAATCTGAAACTCTCAGGCACAGTAGCTTCTTTGCTAAAGAGAGGCACATTCTTAGCAGTAACTGAATATGGTTGAAGATAAGAGTTTGATACCAGAGCACTGAGAAAGGATACAAAGGACACCACTCCTAATCAACAAGCTCRCTTAGAAATAGTTTCTCTTTACATGAAAAGCCTAAAGAAATTCTGCTTTGGAAGGTATTTTTGGACAAAAACTTGGGTTTATAGGATTTGTTATCTTAAATGATCCTATTCTACTTAAAATGTATCAAGTTAATTAAGGGTCGTGTAATTTCTTTCGCAGAAGAACTGAAGCTTTGGGCATTTCTGAGGAAACTTGGAACYTGAGTATGTGAGATGAGTACCCCAAAAAGCTCATGGTAAATGCCCTCACATTCAGACAACTATCTCCCAGTCATTTGAGAAATTGTGAAAAGTCCCAAGCCCACAGTACCCAYAGGCTTTAAATCAGAGGTGGGGAAGGTGTGTCAGGTTTTAAAAATGAAGTGGACACAAAGGCACTTTTGTTAAAAAGCCTCCAGGGTACTCTGAAATGCCAGCAGGCAAAGCCTGGCTGAGCAGGAAGCTGATGGTAGATGATAGTCTGCAACAGGCATGGCATTTATACAGCCTTGAACATAGATTAGGAATTTGAATTGAATATGTTTTGTTGAGCAGCTTTGAGCTACTGGTTGTTGCATTTTTGGAAGAGAAGCTTTGATGACTAGTTGGGGAGCAATATGAGGAAAAAAAAAGAATTAATAGCCTGAAAGAAAAAAGCTACTAATACAAATTTAAATGGTGTTCTTCTTCAAAAAGTGGTGGAGATGTGGAGGTTTCTGCAGGACAAAAATGCTGCTGGCAGGGATCTATGTGAGTGGGCCACCACCACTGCAACCTGACAGAAATCCATCAGCTTAAAAACGCATCTTTTAGGATAGGGAAAAGAACAACATAATTAGGTAGTCTGATTCATTGCAAGCATCTTGGCCGTTTTCAACCTGGATACATCAGTTCCTTGAGAGAAGAAACACACATTCAACAGCATTTTTGGTGTCTTCCATTTCCAGTACTATTGGTGTACACAGGAAAGGAGGTATGTTTGTCTTAGGCATTGCCTTCTTTGAAACAGACAGCAGAAGGAGCAGAGAAATTACAGGAGGTAGTGAACGTGGCAAACCTGCACATAAAATGAACTTTCGTAAGAATAAAATGCTGCATTTACAGCTGTAAATGTACACACCCRTGTGAGTTAAAAATACAAAGCTACTTTTACCCTTTCTTGGTTTTTTTTTTTCAGAGAATGAAGCACTCAAGTGCTGGACTTAAGGTAGTGAAGGTCACTGCATTGGCAAAACCAAAGCATTCATGCAGCACTGGGCTTTTAACTTTTCCTAAGTGAGAAAGTTGGACAGTTAGTACCACCAAAGTGCAGTTGTGCTCTTCACAGCGTGTACATTTTGACTGGCTTGTAGAGTGAATGTAGCAGTTCATGACTCTCCCAGGCAGCTTCTTTTGATGGCTGAAGAAAACATAATCTGCAACATGCTGGGCCACAGCCTGGCTTGGAATGGTTCGACCGGTGTCTGTCAGCCAGTGGAGAAAAGTCAAAGTCAGCWACCTGGGGAAGGAAATCAAAGAGATCATTTCTAGTTCAGCTCCCACCGGCTCAAGGACAGCAAGAACACGTTGGGCTACAAATGGCATTTGGTCCTCAACCATTTTCATCAGTCTCTGACTTCAAATACACTTCTAATTTACAGGTGCTGTGCACATGGCTTACAGGCAGKGTCTCTAAAGGTATAGAATTTATATTGTGGCACAGGGTAAAGGGTATTAGATACTTTCCAAAGTACCATGAAAGCTACTTTTGATTTGAGAACTYATGCTTATTGCAAATACTTTTGTAGTATGTGAAAGGTAGATTAGAGATGGAAGGGAGCTGGGGAGTTGAAGGCCACATATGAGGGGTGGGTAACAAGTGAGGGCTGCTTTAGGTAACACATCCCTCCTTTTTCATCATCCTGTAACTTCTCACACCATCTCCTTGCTTTCTTTCATGTAACTACTCTGAGGCAGATCCTCTGGAAGGAATTCTTCAATACAAACATCTGCTTGGGGATATTAACTGCCCCTTTTAATCCTGGCAACTCAGATTAGAGTTCTCTGCAACAAGCCAGAAACTCGCCTGTTGCTTCATTTGCCTACGCTGTTTGGATTTTTTGATGGAACAGATCACACATACCAGGGAAATGCTCCCTCCTGCTCTCTTTGTCTGAGGATTAAAGAACTTTTAATGTTAGACACCTTTAATAGCTGAAAAACACCTAGTTACTATCCCAGCYCAAAGTCAAAGGAACAATACCTCCACGAGATCTTTTTGTTGCGTGTTACTTCGAAAAGTCGTGTACAGCACCAGTATCAGCATCACTGAAACMAGAGCAGTGCAGAGCAGGACAAAGAAAGCTGGGTGGATTCCTAGGAAAGAGCACAAGGACACATTCCTGGAGTGACACAATATCCCAGAAAGAAGCAACAGTGAGAAAGAAACAATTGAGAAGTTTTAGGAGTATTTTCAGAAGAAAGGAGGTGTGTGTAAGAGGGAATAACCTGGACAGACAATGCAAACACAAGCCAGGCTGCAGCACAGCCCCATTCCTGCCCCATCTGTGGTGTGGATATGGATACAGCTCTGAACCTGGCAGAGCCTGAGGAAGGGAGGGAAATCATGGGCTGCCTTCTCAATGTCCTGTGGAGCAGTTGGTGCCCATCTTCCTCCCCCATGGCACAGGCAGGAATAGAAATGTTCTTGGTGAAGGTGAGGAAGGGATTTTACAGGCTCAGAATAAGCCCCTTGGTTTCTCAGCCATCACAGTGGGGTAGGTACTGCACTGAATGGCATCTCTTTCTCTCTGTTTCTCTTCTTTGGACTTGATTATTTTTGTTTCTCCCAGGGGCACACACGGCTGTGCATGGGGGAGTCAGCACAGGTCACTGGAAGGGACAGGGACCTGTAACGAAATGGAGGCCTAGAAAAATCTACCCTCAAAAACCCATAACTAAACTAAACAAAAAGAATTGAGACTGCTTAATTAAGGCAGTATTACAGATGTGTATGTTCTCCTAGTTATCCTCTCTAACCACAACAGCTGGACTATTTAAACTGAAAAATATATCATTTGAGTAAGGTACTTGGTAGCTCCAAAATACTCCTGGGACTAAGGTTCAGCAGAACACAGGAAGCTCAGAGCCATTGAAGCAGGCATGTTTTAAGCTCCCATTTCTCTTTTTATTCCTCYCCTTCTAGGGTCAATCCCCAAGAGTCCCTGAGGTGTTTGAGGCTGCTGACCCGCACAGATGGCACTGTCAGCTCTGCCCAGACTCTGCTCTCACCTGCCGGCCGCACTTTGATGCCATGGTACGTTTGCAGCATGGTCACTCCCTTGTCCACCCGCACGCTCAGGCAGTACTGCCCCGCGTCCCGGAACGTGTGGCTGAGGTTGTAGCAGGAGCCGCTGATCTCCACCAGATGGCATTTGTCACCTTCCAGTGGAACGCATTCCGCTTTTATGAGCCAGCATAGTGCCAGCGGTGGGCTGAAATGACAAGAGAAAAAGGGCAAAATGGAACAAAAAAGGTGAAAACGCTGCAAAAAATTCAGCAAAAAGTTTGGTTATATTAACAGAATAATTTTGAAACTAACGAAGTTAATCTAAATAGAAATGAAGAAGTAATTAACGGCACAATAGTTCGGTTTATAGCTGTTGCCAAATGAAAAAGTTCTTTGTGATGTTTCTATAAAGGCAAGTCCTTCAGCTGAGAGCTGAATACCTGCATGGGTCATTGGCAGGCCACTGTCTGTAGAAAACTCCACATATTGCTTCTTCAATAAAGATAAAAGGAATCTTTTTTTCCTACACTTCCAAGGGAAGGTTGTTTTTTCTTTGTCCTTCTCACACAGAAATCACTTTCTGTACCACTGAAATACATCCAAGACTTTTCTAATTAAAAAAACCCCACAAYTGAAACGAGAAAGGATGTAAGATYRGCTCTGTAAAACAGACTAATAGCTRGGAAAGGTAAGTAAATTGTAAGGATCACAGCATCCTCTTACATTAAAAAAGAGGCTTTTATTTGTAATCAAGCAATTTAGTGCAACCCACTTCATGGCCATGTGGTTTCTCACCATGTCTAATCAATGCCTTTTATTTACTTGTYCAGGCCCCTGTTTCAACGGATTCTTCTTGAACTCACCTTATGGACTTTGATTCTGACAACAGACAGGGCTTTTCTTTAACCCATTTTATTAGTATGTTGTTTCTTATCTCTTGACAACATTCTTTGCTAAGGAAAGCAGCCYGTTCATGTGTTTAGCTCATTTTCTAGCTTTGTTTTTGATAACCCATCTCTCCATCACTGCATCTCTATCTCAAACTCCTGTTGCATCAGTCCCAGCCCTGTGACTCGAGGCTGYTGACTGCTTTTAGAGATCTCAGCTTTGCCTGTAATGGTTTTTGGCYGTTGACATTTACTGTTGTGCCACCTCCACATAGACAATTGAGGGATGGGGGAATAAGTTGTGTTTGCTACTTACGTGCCATTGATATGAAGAGATAAATTCAAGTTTTCCATCACGTGAGTCTCTCTGGAGCCCACAACATCAATACTTTTAACAGCATCTGGGAAGGAATGGAAAGCCAGCATGTCACACTCCACATGTAACCTGTGTGTCACTGGTTTCCCAGTGAAGTTTTGTTTCAACAGATTTGCAGACTTGATCTCCATCAGTCACACAAATAATACTGCTGGTCTCACACCCCAAAAAGAAACCTACCAGTAGAGATGATGTAAGTTTTCTCTTTTTTTTTCTGATTTCTTTTTAATAGCTATAATCAACTACTTTATTGATTATTTACATTTTAACTCCTGTGCTTATTTGCTCCTGGAGCAAATCAATGAGACTTTGCTAACTCTTGTTTTAACTAGTTTATTGTTTTCAGGGAGAGCTGGTGTAAATTGAACAAATCTACCATATGTTAGGGTAAACATTTTATTGTTTTAATTACATATGAGGTTTTTATAAAAGACAGTAAAACTGTTCTGTAGATTAAAAATAAACTGAAGATTTTCTCTATTTCCACCCATTTTTCTGCACTAGAAGAGCTTGAAGTTCATTCTGCAATGGAAACCCTTCACTGAACAATGCTGAACTGTCCTTGCTTGTGAAACATTGTTGAAATTGTGTTACCACGTTAAAGCTAGATTGTATCTGTGCACATACAGCTCGCCCAGGATTGAAGGTGCAAAATGTTTCAGAATTACCCAGGAGCTCCAGAGCTGTGCTGAAATCCCCGGTTTTCTGCRTGGTTTCCCTTTCGTGTAGGATGCCTCCAGTGTGCTCCCATTCAGCTACAGCCTTCAGATGCACTGTGCGATTCCCCAGGGASGAGCAGTTGCAGTAGACAAAGGGCTCCTTGGTCATCTGGTAAACCCTGTGAGCAACAGGAAAAGGTTTGGAATCAAAATTGCCTTTTACCAAATGCTTGCATATTTCTGGTTTAAACAGGGACAAGCTCTAACATATTTTCTTTACAGACAATGCTGCTGTTGCTGGAATTCTGATTCTACTTTATGTCTGTATCAATGAGGATTTATATCTGTGGTAGTACTTATAGAACTATAATTATTCTAAAATCCAGAGTAAATATGTTCATTTTCAATTAAAGAAACCAAAGATAATGCTAAAAGGATTCACAAAAGGTSTTAGGAATAGTCAGTAAATTATGAAAACAACTTTTATAGCAGGCAGACTATTAGCTAACTGATTTAATTTGGATTTTTCTGTAGATGAACATCTGAATCAGAGACATCTTGAGTACTTATTAAAGCAAACAAAGTGACCACACCTACCCATCTCCAAAATCCCAATTGTAGACAAACGATGCTGACTTGAAGTAATGACTTGGGTCATGAAGAGAGAAAGAAATCCGGGTCRTGGTGCCTGTGGAGGAGCTAGAACCTTGTGTGGAAACTCTGCTGTCTTCTATCTGGGCAATGGTGAGGTTCCCTGTGATAAATTCTGCAGAGTAAAAAGGGGAAAGAATGACAGCATGTGTGACAAAGAATGACAGCATGTATGACAGAAGAATGACAGCATGTATGACAGAAGGACAGCATGTATGACAGGAGAATGACAGCATGCTTCCACACATGCTCTGTGTCGAATCAAAACATTCTTTGAGATGTACTGTGTAAATCTTTCTATGTCCTCGTCCAACTGGTTAAGGGTATTTGATATCTGTTACTCAGTGTTGTCACATGTTAATGARGCAGTGAAATTAAAATATTCATTCAGGGTTATACAACGGGTCATGATAAAGCATCTAATAGATGGCCTAAGATTTGCTGTGTCATGCAACAGGGAAAAGCAGCAGATTGTYCCTGCTGATGGTCATCCTAACTTTAGGACAAGAAATGCTGGGAGGCAGTAGAATCAGCATTGTTTTAGGAGACTGGACATCACTGACCAATGCTGGTGTGTGAACTGCAGCTGCTGAAGCATCTGTTTTCTAGCTCAGTTTCTCTAAGTGACAGAGGCAGGAAAACACGGGCAGGGTCACACTTTCTTCCTGGAGTGTGGCTCTAACTGCACCAATTGTACCGTGCCACCCAAACCCATCTTCAGCCGCAGGGCTATAAATCTGATTGCTGTCAGAAGCTATATTCACATGGTTTTATCCTGATGCTGAGTTCCTGCCGAGGCACAGCTTGTGAGGCTGTTTTACCTGTAATCTGAAGCACGGTGGTGTTTCTCGCAACCGGCCGACAGAGCCARCAGTTTCTGTGAGTCACCCAGACTGACACAGGAAAAGTCCCAGGAAATTCTCCAGTCACATTAATTACAGAATTAAACCGCTGCTCAGATTTCTCTATGAGAATCAGAGGAGCATAAATCCAGTTAAAGTAATACAAGTTTGATGTGACATTTTTGTTCTCCATATGTAGACTGGCCTGAACCGTAGCTTGAGCTCCTGTTGTGATGGGACCATTGTTGGTTATTTCCAGACGATATGACTCTGTGAAAATCAGAAGTAGTAAACCAAACCTTGTTGTATTGAATTTTAAATTTMATTTAGTTTTTTATTTRCACATTTTAACTAGTCAGMTGTAGTTATGTGACTCACAATGACACTCATCCCAGCAAAGACTTTACTACCATAATTTTTTACTGTTCAGAAATCTGGAACAGAAACTGTTGCATGTATATGTGAGTTCAAATAAATAGCAGTAAACAACGTGTCAGACTGGGTCCTAGAAATGTTCATAATAGAAGACACCTTCAGACTAGAACAACACAAAAGCTTTTAATGATGTTTTACACCCAGAGCTGGGTGCTAGCTGGAGGCTCATTATCACTAATGATATAATATGGTCATTAGGCATCCAGATAGGTTAGTGCTAACACCTGTCCTAAAATATGTGAACTTTCAGTTTTGCACTTCACAGATGTTGAAGAATTCTGGAGACAGAAGGACTGTGAGAAATGAACTGTAACATTACTGCCTGAGAAAGAACTCTGCTGTTCCCATTTCACAGTACAGGAAATGACCCTGAGTTCAGTTTTTTGAGTTAAAAGAGAAATGTTTGTGATTTGATGAAATCTGGYTCAGGAAGGTTTCATGTCTCCAGAAGATTCAGGCTACGCTCTGCTTTGTTTCAGCAGAACTTAGACAAAAATAGCCAGCTGCCTCATGCTTATCTAGCACTTCTCCTTGGAGGTTATCACAGTGCTTTGCAAATCAGGGCCATACCGCSCAACAGCTGCTGCAGCTGGAGGTTCAGTGGCTAACCCAAGGTCACCCAGGGAGAGACCGGCACAGCACAGACATTTCATCCAGCTCAGGGATTTCTCCTACCTGGAGAATGGAGCTCTGTGAGTCCCACAGCGAGGGACAGGGCTGCCCAAAGTGCCTTGTGACCCGCGGGGTCAGAGGAGGAAGCAGAAGCGCAGCTTTTGGGTTAGAAGTGCAAAGCGAATCCCGGCCGCCCGGGATGCTCCTCCTTCACTGCATGCACCGAGATCGCGGAGCATGGGTGTAAATTCTGGGTGGTGGGAGCGTGCCCAGAGCTGCTTCCAGCCCTTGTCACACCTGTCAAACTCGAGCAGGGAACCACCGCCACCCGTGACCCCTCTCTCCCCGCAGCCCTGTCCCGCTCCCGGCGGCGATCCAGCGCGGAGGGCGGCCCTTACCTGCGGCGGTAGCGCGGCCGAGCTGCAGCAGCGGCAGCAGCGCGTAGAGCATCGGCAGCATGCTGGGGCGGCGGGGGCCGGCTGTGAGCGGCTGTGGCAGCCGCAGAGGGAGCGGTGTGTGCTCTCCGGGCCCCGCGGCTCTGCGGCTCCTCTGTCCGCGCCCGGGCCGCTCCCCCGCGCAGCCTCTGCCGGGGCCGCTCCTGCGGGACCGCGCCGCCAGCGCCGCCGGGCTGCGCACCGGGGGTTAATCAACAGTCAATAAAAAGCGCGGTAGCTCCACAGCTGCAGTGGGGGCACCGGGAGTGTTTGGGAAGGGGTTTGTGCCGTGTTTTGCTGGCGGCAAGCACATATAAAGTATTTCTGAGGWGGCGCGGGGCGGTTCGGCTGCTGTTACCGGTCCCGCAGCGCTCCGAACGGCCTGTAACGGGTGCCCTGCTGCAGAGAGAGAGCAAGAGAGCCAGAATGTGGTTTTCTGGTGTACTTTTTTTGTCGTTTTATTTTCTCTTTTCTTGTTTTGTTTTGTATGTCTTGGTCTTAATTCGTTTACTTTTACTTTTTCTATTTTCTTAAACTCATCATTCGAAGCCCTTTCTCACTCCTGGCTGTTTCTGGTGGCGGATCAGCCACTCTCCACGCTTGGCTTGGCTTGGCTTCGCTTCTCCCGCGGGGCGGAGCGGGCTGGAGGGACCGGCCGCGGTGGTGTCTGCCCGGTAACTCCCGGGGACAGCGCCCGAGGAGCCTCCGGGCCCGCGGGGACGGGCGGGGATCACCTCAGGCAGCGCCCGGCGGGGCGGGTCAGGGAGCGGCTGTSCGAGGGGTGCGGGCCGGCCAGGGGAGCGGGCGGCGCCGATAAACAGAGCTCGTGTCCGCCCGGGGAGAGGCGCGGGGCGGCACCGGGAGGAGGCGGAGGCGGCACCGGCGGGAGGCGGCCGGAACTGAGCGGCGGCGCTTCCGTCGCGCCCATGCGCTGCCGGCGGCCTCCGGGAGCAACAAAGGAGGGAGCCGGGGGGCCGCGGCCGGGCGGAGCCGCGGAGCCGCGGGGTGAGGAGCGCGGCGGCGGCCGGGCCTGGGCGCGGTGAAGCGGGGCGGGGGCAGGCGGGACCGGGAGCGGCCGGAGCAGGCCCGGGGCCGAGCGCGGTACCGGGAGCGCTGAGGGGCGGGGGAAGCGCCGCCGAGGCCGCTGACGGTGCCCGTGTTCGCAGGGCGGAGATGGGCTCGGCGTGATGGCCTGGCAGCCGGGAGCCACCCGGGCGAGCGGCGCTGCGGCGGGGAAGGTGAGGGGCGCGGGGTCCCGGGGCACCCACAGCCCTGCAGGCCGGCTGGGCCGGACCCGGCCGGGAGCGAAACTGACGGGGAACCCCGAGGGGAGCAGGGACATCGCCGATCTGTCAGACTGGGTGTGATGTTGGGCTTCTTTGCCATCGAAAAAGGCAGCTTGTGGTGGCAAGACAACGGCTGGCGGCCCTGGGAGTGAGTCCCGCGGGGTGTCCGAGGGTGGCTGTAAGTTTGGGATCAGGATGGGATGGAAGGCAGGAGGATGAAAGGTGTGCGGTGTCGGGAGCATCTCTGAACCTGGAGCCTGTTGCTGGGAGCGAGGAAACCAGGCAAAACCTGTCAGTGTTTGTGCTGTGGTGTGAAGAACTCAGTAACCCCTTTTATCTGTTAGTCCAGTCCTGTCACAGTGAGTGCTGTACGTGCTTGGCGTTGTATTTGTAAGCCTAAGTGACAGCTGTGGTTTGGAAAAGGTGGCCCTCTTCAATGTGTCAGAAGAAGGGATGTAGGTGATGGGATAGCTGCTGTTAACCAGCCATGTAAACTAACAAATGCTTCTTTATTCTTTTGTAGGAGTGTTGATCTTGATTTTATGTAGTCAAAGCTGATCTTTCTTCCTCCAAGATGGCATTTGTTTCAGCACAAGGGCCTACGGTGGTGGACCAAACCACTCTGATGAAAAAATACCTTCAGTTTGTGGCTGCTCTTACAGATGTCAATACACGTAAGAGATTTTCTCATCTTGRAAATTACAGCTTTTCAGTAGTTTGTCTCACAAGTGTTGCAATCTTGTTCAGACAGTCGATAAATGAGACAGTGAAGTCTCTTGGATTCACTTTGAAATTTGTTTGAATTTTGATTTTTKAAGAAGCAAAATGATGACAAACACTTGCTTGAGCCGAAGTGAGTGAGCTGTGTGTGTGTGCAGTTGTGTGGTGGTTGTTTGAGAGAATTGTGTGTCTTATAATTGGGTGATGATGGCTAAACTGATAAGATCTGATTGCTTCTTTAATCAGTGAGGCTGCTGTTTTCTTTCATGAGCTAGTTTGACATTCACATTTTTTGCTTGAATTTCCATTTTCAGCCGATGAAACCAAATTGAAAATGATGCAAGAAGTCAGTGAGAATTTTGAGGTAAATAAAAAGAAAACAACCCCAAGCAACAAAACCCCCTCAGCTTTCTGCACTGGCAGCCTTTCCTGTGCTTAATGTATATTATTTGAATTTCTAATGTTAGGCAGTTAAAAGATTAATGGTWGTATCCTGTGACTTATGATTTATACAGTTACAAGTCATTGATTTTAGGTTTGTATTTAGRAATTAGCCAGGTTGTTGAAGGATTACATTTGCACTTAGAGAGCTTTAGAGAACTTTCATTGCCTAATCTTTATTCATTAAACATTAAAATAAAAACTACATAGGAGACTTTTGTTCTATTTTTTGAATGCCATGAGATCGCCAAATTTAAAGCTTTCTTTTATTTAGTTCAAATGTTTATTGTGCCTTGTGTAACAGAGGCCTTTCTGATTCCTCTGAATATTCCATGGTGTGGAAGTGAGAGAGGAGCTGTCAGATGCAGGATATGACATCAGGAGTGGAGATGTCTCCAGTGACATTTTTGCCATGGTGATAGATGATTTAGATGAGCAGCAGAGAAAAGTCAAACACGAGTTAACCCAACCTTGTGTTAGCAGAAATTACACTTTAGTTGAATACTTAGTTGTTACATCCCTATTGTGAAGTTAGAGAAAACTGAAAAACATTCTTGTGAAGTTTATCTTTTTAAGCTAACCTGCTATCTCTGAAACAATTTATCTGAGTAAAAGAACAGTTTTAACTGCTTAGTCCGATGATCTGTTTAGAATATGAAGGCTTCATTGATTCTGTTTGCTCTTCTCTTCAATAGGGAAGAACTTGTTTCGTATTTGTTTTGCTAATGTTCTCTTGGAACTCACTTGGTTCTATAGTGTGTCAGCAGATACTTTGTCACTGAGTCTCTTCAGAATTCACAGAAAATGTTTAACTGTGGCTTTGAATGTAGCTGAATATAACCTGTGTGATGTGTATTATATATATCCCTGTTTTCTGTTCTTAATTAGAATGTGACATCATCCCCTCAATATTCTACATTCCTGGAGCACATCATCCCTCGGTTTCTYACCTTTCTACAGGATGGGGAAGTTCAGTTTCTGCAGGAGAAGCCAGCACAGGTAAAGTGTGTGGAGCATCTCCTGCCTTTTTGCAGTGAAGTCCTTGATTAACCTAATGAACTGATTTAAGACTTGTTAAAAATAGATCTGTCATTTGGTTGTTTGTTTTTTGTTTTTTTTTTTTTTTTGTTACAGCAACTCCGGAAGCTTGTGCTTGAAATAATTCATAGAATACCAACAAATGAACATCTTCGTCTTCATACCAAAAATATCCTGTCTGTGATGTTCAGATTTCTAGAGGTATTTTTTTCTTCCTCTTAAAACAGTTTCAAATTTTCAGAAATATTTTCCTCTGCTTTCTTCATTTCCCATATTTGCCGGGGGTAGGATTTTTAATAGCTGTGCAACTGGAGCAGGAGTGGAAGGACGTTCTATTTAAGCTTCACTCCTGTTCTCCCTTACCACCTMCAGGGTTTCTGTGTGTTCTGTTCTGCCCTTTAGTAACTTGGATTTTACAAATGCAGGCAATTATTCTCATGCTGGGCAAGATTTTCTGGCAGATAGGTGATTTTTAGGGAGTTTGTTTTGTTGGAATTCACAACACTGTCATTTGAAGCTCACATGGGGGTCTTGAGGTGCAGTAGGAACAGATCTGATGGTACAGAGTGGTTGAAATGTCTGGGTTTGTTCCCACAGGGGGTGGATTTAAATTCAGCCATACTCTTGGACTGCGAGGTATCACACAAATCCATGTTAGTGGGGCACTTTAGATTGTTGAGTATAATTTTACAGGGTTTTGAAGTACCCACTGAGTAGCTGAAGAATTCAGCAGTGGGCTCACTAAAGGGTCTCTTCTTTTTTTCCAGACAGAGAATGAAGAAAACGTACTGATTTGCTTAAGAATAATTATTGAATTGCACAAACAGTTCCGACCAGCAATCACTCAAGAAGTAGGTCATACATCTTGTTACATGCTATAAAACATAATGCTCTTTAGAATTGCTATTTTGTTCAAGTGGGTTGATTGGTTTGTTTTGCTTCTTTCTTTTTATATTGCCTCACTTGTTGTGGTAACCATATATTTATTTTTTTTTACCATAAAGCAATTTTTAAAAGAGGATTGAATAGTACTAACACTCCTGGGGAAAGGAGCTGTTAAAGCTTAGCTGTACTTGGTTTAAATGTTTATGGACAATATGATCAGTCAAATGAATAAAATTCTGACAATTGTCATGAAACATATACTATAYTGGTGACTAGAGGTTTTATGTATTAATACAGAGATTCTAAAACTGTGATTTTTAAAAAGATTTTTTAAAAATTTCTTTATGGTGAACTGACTTCTTCCTCCGTAGATTCATCATTTTTTGGACTTTGTGAAACAGATTTACAAGGAACTTCCAAAAGTAGTGGTGAGCTTTTTATTTCTTAAATTGCCATTGCTGTAGTCAGAAAACTTTTGTTTCTTAATTTTACCTCTGAAAGATCTTGACATAATATTTCTAAAAGATACTGAGTTTTAGTGAGTATATTTATCAAAACCGTGTGAAAATTGCGACATTTAGGTTTGGATTTGGAAACCTTCTGTTTCTAGAACACTGGTATGAGAAAGTTGAGCTGAGCTTAAGTACTGAAGCAGGGCCAGGTTGGCTGCAGTTGTCTGTGTCACCAAATGTGTCTGGTTTTGAGGGAAGGRTGAGGTAACGAGG